ACCCCACCAAAATAACTTTTTGTTGTTGTTGGTTTTTAATTATTATTATTTGTAATTCCCCGTTAATCAACATCCCCCCCCGTTAAAGCCGTTATTTCTGATTTGGCGACTGCTCCGTGTGTATATAAAAATCACTCCCCAGCAGGCAGGGACAGGCAGGGACGGGCAGGGACATCCCACTGCTGCCTGCACTTAAAAAAGGAAAAAAAAAAAAAAACCCCCCCCCCCCCCCAAAAAAAAACCCCCAACCCCAAACAACCAAAAAAACCCCAAACATTTCTGCTTCACAGGCAAAGGCTGGGTCAGTGCGGTGTGCGGCGCGGCTGGCGGCAGCTCCTCTACGTTCTCGACAAGCCGCGGTTATCCAAATCTTTCACCTGGGCGGTAAAAAAAGGCTCAGTTAGGTGAAATGTAATGTTTTTTTTCCCAGATCTGGGGGCTTTGGGCTCGGTTTGGGGCCATACCTTGTATATTCGGACCAGCCAGTGCTCTGTGGTGTACGCCTCCTCCAGCACATCCAGCTCAAAGTCCTTGTTGCCGATTTCAGCATTCCTCACCCGATCGTAGCCTGGTGGTCGCTCTAGGAGAGGGCAAAGTACAGGCAGCATTGCCGCATGGTGCCCCGAAGATGGCGGGGGCATGGTGGGGCACCCCAAAAGTGGTGTCATTCCCTGGGGGGGGGGGGGGTTTTGGGGACTTACTGGCCTCGGTGTAGACCTGGCCAAAGCGGTAGTAGCACATCTTGTACATGAGGCAGTTGAGGAGCACCGGGGAGCCCTCACGGTCAACCCGAAACTCCCCCGTGGGGGTGTAGTAGTCGTGCTCCTTGATGTGGCGCCCCGTGTCCGTGCTACCCCCGATCCGCACCATCCACAGGAACTTGTTGATATCTGAAAGGTGGAGAGCAGAGAGTTGGGGGGCAAAGAGCGAGGAGTTGAGTTGTGAAAGAACGAGGAGTTGAGTTGAGGGGCCAAGAGCAAGGAGTTGAGTCACGAAAGAATGAGGAGTTGAGGCAAAAGAACAGAGACTTGAGTTGATGTGGGGTGAAAGAACGAGGACCTGAATTGAGTTGGGGGGCCAAGAGCAAGGGGTTGAGCTGAGGTGGGGGAGGGCAAAAAAAGGTACGTGCAGCTTCCAGAAAGGAGCATTTTGGTACAGTTTCCACTTTGCGGGCTCAACTGAAAGTGGGACTTTGCTCCTCTGAAGAGCTGTTTTGGGGAAGCCTGTGCCACCAGTGCCCCATGGATGGGTTTGAGCCAGCTCAGAGCGAGATCTTACCATCAGATGAATACCCAGTGAGGCCTCCGAAGATTACCAGCACGTAGCTGACGTCCAGCTCCCTCATGATCTCGTAGGCTTTCTCCTCCGTCGATGCCATCGCCTGGAGCAGACACAGTGTCAGTCACACTACGTGGCTGCCTCAGAAAGGCAGGGCAAGGCAGCAGGCGAGGGAAGGACCTACCTGACCAACGCGGGAGATGTGCGTGTTGTTCCAGGTGTTGTTGTCCACCAGGATGGTCCGGTTGGCCATGGCAGTTATCTGGTACCCGTAGTCCCACCAGGACATCACCTTCGCGTCCTGCACCCAAACACGATGTGCCGTCAGTGCCTTGGTGGACGTTGGGTTCCCACTGCCCAAATTACCCCCGTTTACCTCTGGCGTGTTGTGACGTAGCCAGTAATAAGCTTCTCTGAAGTCATCAAAAATGATCCTGCTGCCGTCCCCACCCCGGGCAGAGAGCACGATGGAGGGGGAGGAGTACGCCTCGCTGGTCACCCAGGTGGAATGGAAGGTGTAGGTGATCAGGAAGAAAGCCATGACCAGGATCATGCCACTGGCAACCTGGGGGAACAGATCGGGGTCAACGCTGGAGGGAAGACGCTGTCAGCCTCCTGCACTCATCCCCACCAGGACGAGGTGTCTTCTTGCCCTTCCCCAGCCGGCCCAACACTCACTTCATTTTTGATGGGGTAGGTGGAGTCTTGCTGCTTTTTGCTCTTCTTGTCTGGCCGGCTGATATCCAAGTTCTTCATGTAGGTGGACAACACCTGAGAAACCCCGATGCCGGACAGGATGCACATCACCGGGGCCAGCACCAACATAAGACGCACCTATGGGCAACAGCAGAACGGTCAGCGCCTGTCGGAGAAGAAATCCAGGCAGAAATCTGAGAGAAGAGGGAAATTAAATGCCATCTCTAATTCAGCAGAAACATCAGCCTCGAGATAAACCCATAGCTGATACTTTTTTTTAGTGGGTGCAGACTGGGAGCTGCCACCATCTCAGATGCCCCTGAGGGAAGTTCCCTGAAGACCTCAAAATTGGCCAAGGCGCAGAAGTGACCTCAATTTAACACCCTTGGGCAATCTTAGGTGGAGCCAAGAATTAGTAGATGCCTCCGCACCAGAAATCGACCCGCATTTAGGGCTCAGGGTGCTGGAGCGAGAGTGGAAACAGGTTCATAAGGAGCCGTTTGTCGTCAGTCCCTGCTTGGATACCTGGAGAATTTGTTTGGGTTTGCAACCCAGCTATGGGAGACCAGGAACAGAGACCCAGCGGCGGACAGCAGTGGCCGTAAGGAAGCGAGTAACACCAAAGCCGGTAAGTTTTGCAACGTCGCATTCCCTCGCTGCACGGAGGGGCGAATAAACGAGTTTTAAAGAAGGGAGAAAAGCCTCATGACCACTGCAGCCGGCTCAGGGTGGAAGAGCCATCATCAACAAGTTCAGAAAAATAAATTCAATCAGCTCTGTTAAGACCATTTTGTCATCCTGCTTGCGCCCGGCAGGCAGCAGCCCTCACCATCACAGCAGAGAAGTACATGCTGGTCACGCCGTACATGATGATAAAAATGCGGGCATCCGAGAGGTTACTGAAGCAGTAATACAGACCAACTGCCAAGAGGAAAGAGAAATGGGTCAGGTTCACCTTAGCAATCTGTTGCCTGAAATAAAAAACAGCCGGCAGAGGCACGTAGCACTCCTCGGCAGACTTGGCACCGCGAGGAGAGGGGAGGCTGCGGTCATGGCCGGTAGAATAAAACCCTTCTGGTGTCATACGGTGATTTAATAAACCGGGCTCTGACAACATCTGCGCTGGGCTCACCTGGGAACATGAAAACGAGAAGCTGCAGGTCAAAGTAGTAGGAGGACCAAGTGGTGGGCTGGTGCTCGGAGACAGAGGCAATGATGGGGATGTTGTTCTTTGCATAGGAAGGATCCAGCAGGGAGTAGAAACGTCCTGTCCACGGGGAGATTTTCCCTAGGAAAGAGGAGAAAAAAAAATCATATTCCGTTCCAGCAGAGAGTAACCAGCAATGCCAACAGGTTCTCACAAGGGAAGCACGTGCAAGACTGAATGAGCAATCCTGGACCTCACTTAACATCTCTGTTACTCAAAACTGTTGTTTTAGAAAGGAAATGCAGTGCAATTTTACCCTAAAAAGACTTCTCGCCCACCCGACCTACATTTTTAGCATCTCTTCACTACTACAGATCGACATGCAGTTTCTGAAGCACCAGCTCAGTGTCCCCAGTGCGCGCTGAGTCAAAGCAGGTTTCTCTCTGTGCCTCGCATCACCTGGAGCCCAGATCTTACAGCTGCTTCTTAAACAGTTTCCTGCTAACGCACGAATTTGCCACACCCCCACCCCCCCCCTTAGAGTGGGGCTCGCAAGCACTGAAACTGCAGTGCGGGCAACAATGCAGAATTAGGATTGACAAATTACGTGCTCTTCAAAGCAATGAAAGGAGGCAAAGCTGATGGCGAAATGCCCTCATCACCACCACCATCTTGGGCTACCTGTCAGCATCAGCACGGCCCCGATGGTGAGGAGGACAAAGCCAACCAGGGAAATGACACTCCTGAAGAGGATTTCAAATTGCTGCGGGTTCAGCTTGCTCCGAAGGTAGTCTACGAAGGCGTGGATCTGACACAAGCCAAAGACTCCAAGGGCAGCCATGTGCTCCGAGGAAAGGACAGGCTGCAAGCAGGGGAGAGCGTGATCAGATACGGAGGAGAACAAGAGCCATGTTGCACCTGGT